GGAAAGAGGAAAATAAACTTTCCCAAAGCATAGATTTTAAGTCCTAAAACCCTGTTTGACCAGTGACCATTTTGAACGTCTGACTTACTTTCTTTTCTGATCCATAAAATGTAAGATGCTGTTCCAGGTAGAATGAGTCTCTTATCCTATGGTTCCCAAGAGGCACAAATATGCCTTTAAATTATACTGAAGTGGCCAGATGCTCAGGTGGTGTAAACTGTTGCTGGTCTTTTCTTCCAAGGAGCTAGGGACAGTTTACATTAGTTGAGGACATTCCTTGTAATTATTCTTTGTGTGGATATACAGCATTTGCATATGTGTTTGCTTAGGGCCAGCTCTTTCTCATGTTGATTAATATCTTACTCCATCAGGGAAACCGAAGGGGCTATAAGAAGCAAAGTGTTATTCAGAATGAACAGAGGTAGATTAACTTGGCCTTTACGCAGCTATTTATAATTGTTTCATGTAGGTTTTTTTAACATATATTTTTGAATCCACATTGACATGCATAATTTTCCTTTGCCCAAGGACTTTTCTTTGAGATTATTTATGGGATAAACTGAAAGATTCAATGTATTAGCTTTGCAGTTTTACAGCTTTAAGTCACTTTAAAATAAAAAGGAATGGGAAGGGTTTCAGCTATTAAATGGTAAGTATGGGTCCAACTTGGTTTTGGGTACATAAGTGTAAATCTGGAGGGAAAACACTGCCATTAGTGGAGTTATTCGGCTTTGTACCAGTGTAAATAAGGACATAATTTAGCTTTGTATTACACAGATATTTTGCTACAGTGTGCACATGAAGGGCTCAGTTTGGCATTCTCAGAGCATCAAAATCTTCCAGAGAGGTCAATGAGGCCTGATAATCATTTTCACGAAGGCCCCTTTATGCTTCCAATTCAGTGGTGAAAAATAGCCTTAGTCTAAATGTGAATAAGATCAGTGGCGCACCAAAATAATGTAAAGTGGGCGTGAACAGCTTAAAAAGACACATTCTTTTTTCTTTTCTTTTTTTTAAAAACATTCAATGTTTCTGCTTTCTAATGGGCCTCTTAGCAAAAGATCAAGCTGAACTATAATTGAAAAATATCACGTTGGAAAGGATGTAAAACAGAAGGCTGTGTATGTATATACAGTATGTTCAAAGCCTTTTATTTTTATATTTTGAATGCTCTAAATTAATAAAAAAATAATTATGATGTATTTTGGATTTTTATTTTTAAAACTTTCTGAGTGGTATCTCCTATCCTGGGTAAGTATTGATAATAAAATGATCAACTGAAGAATTGTAGCCTAAGAACTGGAATAAAATAACAAAATGGAACAGATCTCAATTTGTTGATTTTAGCTACTGAAGTGGTACAGGTTTGAGCTGTCAGTGTGGTCACATCAAGACAAAAGACACACTCTCTGTGCATGTCAGCACAGGAATCCTTGAAAATGCTGAGAATGCATTTCTTTTCTAATGTTTTTGCTTTTATAATACATTTTTAAGTACTATGACTCCAGAGTTTACATGTGAGCTGTCACTCAAAAATTATAATGTAGAAAGATATTGTTCTAGAATTTATTGAAGAGAAAGTTCAGTCATTATGTATGAGGAAGGACAAGTAAATTTATATAGTGCCAGTACAGTCTATAGTAATACCATAAGTATTTCCCACACTTTCAAAATACATGTATACTTGTCAAAAAAAAAGTCTAGGTAGCTGGAATTATTTATTTGTAGAAGAAATACATATTTTCTAGTACTGAAAAAGACAACATGTTAACAACAACAGATTGGTGATATAGCATGTGAAACTAAACTTTGTCTTTAGTAAGCATGATGGAAATTCAGAGTATCATATTTCAAATGATGTAAAACAGATAATAGAACAATAACAAGTAGGAAAATAGATATGAAATATGGTCTATGTTTATAAAGAATATCTGGGAAAACAAACAAATGTAACAGTGCTCAGTATTTATAGAAATAAATGTTTCAGAAAGGCTTACGGTTATCTAATTAAGTCTGCACATATGACATCAGTATAGAACAGTGTTCTTCCACCCAGGGTGGTCACAAAAGCCGGTCAGGGTGGTCATGAGGTTTGAAAGTTTTATTATATTATGTAGGGTAAAAACATCTTTCTCCCACTCTCAACATACCCTTCCCTTTCAATGGCAAGGATCCTCCGAGAACTTGAAACATGCACACATGTGCGCGCGCACACACATATTATGCAGGGTGATTATTGTTATGCTTAACACATTTTTTATGCTTACATTTATAGTAAATGTAATAGGAAGGCATTAATTTTTTTGCTTTGAATAAAGGATTGCCAACCTAAAAAAAGCTGTGAAACACTGGTATAAAATATTCCTTTTTCCCCTTCTTGTTCCAATTTTTTAAATTTATTTATTTTTTTTATAACTGAAGGTTAAAAAAAAGATTGGGGGTGGGGGGAGGAAAAAATGTTAAGGTGAGACCTTGGTCCTGTTAAAATCCATGAAAATTCCATCATTTACTTTGACAAGACAGGGCTTCACCTCTGGAAATGCTCTTACCCAAAGAACCTCGTCTTCCTATATCCTCAGACCAACATGGCAGTTTTCAAATACAGGTTCAAAAACTGTGAAAACCTCACAGTTTTCAAATACAGGTTTTCCTTGCTTTATGCAGGTTCTGTATGTTCAAATTTGCTCTTATGTGATGACCCTTTTTATACCAAAAATTCATTATATGCAAGGTAAATTCACTCTTATGTGACTGGTGTGGTGGAAGTCCACAGTCAGCTGCTTTGTACAGTGCATTGTGGGAATGACACGCACCAAAATATAGTCTCCTGTGTGGATCTGTGCTCCTTGCTTGTTATCCGAGACACGTGTTTCTGTAGTTGGCATCCCCGTTATGATAGTGCCCTGTGCTTGTGTGCACTGTCTTCTGTTGGTGAGTACCACAATTGTCTTGTAAAAGTGGTAGAAATGGGTCTGGGGGTCAGTATAGTTAAGGTCTTGGAACGTATCCCTATTTGTTACATTGTAAAGTGGGTTCCCTTTATGCAAATTCGAGTTATGTGCCTTTTTCCAGGAACACATGTGCAGCATAAACCGAGGGAAACCTGTATTCCTTCTGAGGCAGAGTTCAGTGGATTTATCTATGTGATTAACTCCTCACTAACTGGGTAAGTGCTTCACAGTCAGGCTCTTTATGACCCAAATGAATTAAACTTTCTTGCTTATTAAGTGTTTCCTTCAGTGACTGTTCTGAACTTTTATGCAAGGATGGAAATTCAGCTCAATTAAATTATATTTAGAATTTTTCTTTGACCTGGATAATGTTATATGTATAACTTAAAATATGTAGGGAGTTTGACAGTAGGATATTATTTGAAGCAGAAGGATGATCCTGATGTTCTCTTTTGAATATAACTTGCAGACACTTCACAACATGTTCGGCTTGCATTAAAATTGTATGATTGGATCCAGGTTTTTTGTTAGCTAAGCCAGGTCCTCAATTATAAGTCTATGGAGCTATACCAATTTATGCCAGTTTAGGCTCTGACTCCATGTGATTAATGCATTTTTCCTGCTTCATTCCTTTGAAAGTCAATTGAAGTGATCACAAGTTAAAAAAATCAGTGCATTTACTATATGACACAATCAAGTGCCCATAACATTTAGTTTGTTCGTGAGATACTAACTTATTTCTATGTTTCCCTGATCTATTTCCTGAACAGTGAGGCCATGATTCAGCAAAGCACTTAAGCATAACAGCTGTATTACTCATGCATTCAAAACTGAGCATGTGCTTAAATGCATTGTTGGATCAGGGCCTGAAGGTCTAGTTCTGCAGTGATGAATCCTCTCCAGAGGGAACTGAGCACCTTTTAGCATGAAAGTCTCAATTATATTTTGCTTTAATTACTTAGATCCTTTAACCCTAACATGACCATAACATATTTTCAGCATGTCCATTATGTCAATGAGTACATGATTTTAGACATACTACTTCCAATTACCAGTTTTCTTGAAGCCATGCATAAGCATACTCATAAACCAAGAGCATCACAGCACCACCTAAAAAAAAGGGCATTGTTTAATTGTGTTTAAAATGTAATACTATCATTATTTTATAAAACAAGTATAAAGTCATTTCAGGTGTAGTGAAATCGTAAATTGGAATATAGTGAAACTGGGTCAGTAGAATTCCCTGGATTCTATCAAACCACGAATTCTTAAACCATACACTATTTAATAGTTTAGAACAAAAAAAGTTCACATGAAAAGCTTGTATATTGCATCAAGATTCCTTTCAGCTTTAAGTGCATTTCTCTTATGTGTTCTGGTACTTTGTTCTAACATTTTCCTGCCAAATTTCTTGGAGGTTGTGTAACAAAAGTCAATAAACACACTACCCCTCTGGTAGAACCTGAAGTGTAATTAAGACTCAGAAATAAGAGAACTGAGGGAACAAGTATGTCCATGGAGGGGGGGGGGGGGAGATCCAAAGGAGGCGCTTTGAAAAAAAGAGGGGGGGGAAAAAAGGGTGTGTGGGGGGGGGGGGGGGGGGGGCAGATCCAAAGGAGCTGCTTTGATGCAATCACACCTCCTCTTCAATTGCTGCCACTGGTGTAGGGAGGAAGGACCTGGGTCCTCATCAAAGGGACAGGGGCTGTGAGGAAGCTCTTATGGTTCCCTTGGGCTCTCTCCAACTCTGTGCTGACGAGACCTGTGGTGATGGTGGATCAGGGACAGGTAGAGGCATAGCTCACCCTGGGCAGAGTGGGGTAAAGATCAGGGGGATATTATGTCAACAGCCGGACAATGGCAGTATTTGATAGGGGCATGAGCTCTGGCTGCTGCAGCTAGGGAGTGGTTGTAGCAGCTCCCATGGTGTGGTCTCCCCAAGTCCCAGATGGTCTGGGACCCCTTCCAAATCAGCACATGGGGTTCACACCCTACTTACCTCCCCAATACAGTACTGTCCATTCCTTAGCTGTAGTAGCCAGAGCTCATGCCTGCACCAGTGCCAGAGTAGCAGCACCTAAAGTGCAGGGAGTCCACACTGTGACAGGTAACAATCAACACTGCTGCGCCTCTCTAGCTGTCAGCATAATATCCCCACTCCCCATCAGCACACTTCCCATGGTACAGAGCCTGTAGGATCTAGGTGAAGGAGAAGGGGAGTGGCAAGGAAATACAGGGCCTCCTCAACCTCGCACCATGAGGCAGGAAAGGGGATGCTACTTGCTCCCCCATCTATTGCCCCCACTCCTGTAGGGAGCCCCAGGGTGGCTGAGCTCAGGACTCTGCTTGGACTGGGGCAAGAAGCTCAGATCCCCTTTAGTAGGCCACTCTTCCCACATCAGCAGAGGTCAATGTGGCTCCCTGCCTCCATGCCCCTGTTTCCAAGTCCTAGACCCCCCATTAGTATGCCCTCCCAAAAAGGGGCCATGCCTATTACTTAAACCTATTCCTAAATCTACACAATCAGTTCTGTTGTACATGACATTATTTCAAACACCAAGAACATCTACCTTGCAAGCTTTTAACAAAGGTTGATTTTCAAACAAATACACAAAACTGGCTATCATATTAAGAGGCTGCTACATTTAGATAATTTTGGAAGGTAACAGCCAAATTCTGCCTAATATGAAATAAGGTGACATGCTCTAATCTATGTGTCAGTGAAAGTGCAAGGGTACATGTGGTTTTCTTCTTCATAGATTTTGTCTGTTGGATTAGATGGTACAACTATGCAGTCCCTCTCTGGAAAAGCTAGATACAGTACTGCTGTACTGTACTGGGGCAACCTTTTTGCTTACACTGGATTGCCAGGGTCCTAGAACAACCATAAGAAATGGCTAGTGAATCTTATCTGAAGAAACCCTGCTTACATATGGTGTATACTGACAACTATCTCCCTCTACTAAACAATAAAATATATTACATCTCCTCCTCAATCTTGTTTCGTTCAGATTCCTAGACCATCATGGCTGCAACAGCAACACTAGTGCAGTAACAGCAGCTACCTGATGAAGTTTCACAGGTAGCCAGACAGAGCAAACAAAAAGTTTGCATAAGACTTCTCACAACAATTCACAGATGCACAGTCTGGCAGAAACAGCCTGAACTCAAACAAGGTCTGATTTCAAATAGTTCTTCAATGTGATTTGCTTGTATACCCCCCTTCCTGAAAACATTTGTACTATAGGCGGAAGGAATTACCTTTCGTTTCATACTGAAAATAAAATTTATGAGACTATTAAGTTGTTAAGAATATGCCCAGCTGCTTTGTTGGTTCTGGGTCCAGAGTACTCAGTAGGATTGGTTCTGTTATTACAAAATCAATTGAGTTGGCTGGTACAGAGAAACAGGGATATGCCTTCTTTCTGCCTCCCATAAACTAGTTATATTGAAGGAAGAAAGCTCTGTGCTCTTGAGTTCTGCCTGTTTTCCTTGTGTCCCTGCTCTTGAAACTGAGCGAAAACTAGGTAGAGTTCAGGTCTTAGTAGGAGTAAATAGTTTCATAAAGATTGACAGGAAAAATTCACATGGTATTTTATAATGCAAAATACCATATGTAAGCAACCAGCTGCTATTAAGAAACAGAGTCCTTATTATCTTTTAAATCATTGTCCTCTTGCCTATTGAGCCACCTACTCCACCTGGAAATACCATTTCACAGACATAAGATTTGGTTCCAATTTGTTCTGCATCCTCTGGATGCGTCTATACAAGACATGACTGTGCAGTCGTTACTGCGTATTTATGTAGTCCTTGTATGAGCAAGTACTAAATAGGTGCGTAGTAACTGGAGTTACCACACAACAGTGCTGGCAAATGTCTTTTAGGTGATGCTATTATGCACTAGCCTAATAATGTGCAGTAGTGTAGTAACACCGGCTGTACTGTCATTCACTACTGCTTGGTATTTGGCAGCCATTGTGCACTCAGGGTCTCATGTAGGCGTGCCCCCTATACAGATAAAAAGCTCTAGTAACACAGCCCAGGACTAATCAAAACCAGGTTGGAAAAGAGACTGGAAATCAAAAATGATTTAGCTCCAGTTGCCCAATTCGTCCACTTGGGACAGAGACCATAGTGAGTAGGGTAGAAGGGCAAAGGTTAAGTCACTTTTCTAGAACAGGGGTTCTCAACCTGTTTAGACTCAAAGTATGCCTTGTTACTCAAGGTACCCCTCAGACTCAAGTTACCCCTGAGAAAATGCCAGACCTTTTTCAGCCAGAGAGAAGTCCTTGTACAAAGGGTGTACTTAGGGGGCTATTTATACTCACTTAGGGCACCATTCATGCCAGAGAGGCATAAAATAGCTGTGGCAGGGCACTGTTGTTGCCTGCCACTTTAAGGGCTGAGCCAAGCAGCCAGCAGGTGCTTGATTGTGATGTCCATTTTAGATCTCTGGCCGCATATATAAACAGAGCAGTTCACCTGCTGGCAGGCCAGGCAGAAACATCACCTGGCTGCAAGGTTGTATGCAACATCCTGGAGGTAAGGGCACGAGCTTAAGGGGATGGTTTGGAGGCTCCTGGTCCTTGGCATGACCTGAAACTGCACCCTGCCGGGAGAGGGTGGCCTGGTGGGGCTCTCAGTGGTGCAGGAGTCCCCAGGAAATACCAGGCTAGTTACCACCCCAGTGAAAGGTGGGTTGGGGCACTTTAATAATCCCAGCTCCCACAACTGGGTAGGTTATACCATAGTAGGGCCAAGAGGGCAGACTCAGGTTAGAGAATGAGCTAGAGGCTCAGAGGCCTGACTCAAAACACCCTCGACTGGTCAGTACTGGGGCCAGGACCAGAAGGGTCAAAAGGGCCAGTTGACTACCACGAGGGACACCTAGAGTTGAGGGTCTGGGATTTCTGAGTGGTTTTGGAGGTGAGGCCAGGGCCCATATGGCCAAAGTCCCGGGGGACCACGCCTGAGAGGGGGAAGAGTTCAGGGAGCTAGGCAGCCCAGAATGGGGGTGGAGTAGGCTGCCTGATTGGAGGGATCTGGTTGGGGTCCAGATTGGAGGATTCTTGGGGCCCACTGTGGGTCTGGTGATGTTGAGGACTGTGGATGCCATCTGGGAGGCTTAGGCTGCAGTGTAGGGGAGGTACAGAGCCGCAGATAATGACCCCTGGCATTGGGACAAAAATGGGCAGCCTCCCACCTAATTAGCAACATAATTATGTATCATCAAGGTGTGGCAGGTGAGGAGGTAGGCCTAGAAACAGGTGGGCAGGCCAATGGTAGACCGGCCCTGAGAATGCTCCCGTTACATTGGTGATTGGCTAGGAAACATCAGCCTGACAGCTGAGCACAGTAGTACCTTCCCTCCTGTAGTGGTAGGGTTTGAGACCTTGATAGAGAATAGGGCATGGAGCCCAGAGTTATGGAGTCTAGTAGGGACAGTAGAAGGGCAGTCCCAGGGGTGCACTGAGAAGGGCCGAACTGTGAATAAACCTGAAGGCTAGTGCAAGGGCCAGCCCCGGCTGTGTAAGCACAAGAGCCAATTGCCCAGAAAGGGGCCAGTCGCTGGTGTATTAATAGAGGGCTGGAAGCCCAGGTTACTGAGGGGTGATGTGAGTTTCTTAAGTGTGGGGAAGTGTGTGGCAGGGCACTGTTGGTGCCTGCCACTTTAAGGGCTGAGCCAAGCAGCTAGTAGATGCTTGCTTGTGGTGGCCATTTTAGAATTGTAACAGGGTCTGTCTCGGAGCTAGTATACCATTGGCCTGCCCACCTGTTTCTGGGCCAACCGCCTGCCTCCTCACCTTGATGATACATAATTATGTTGGTAATCAGGTGGGAGGCTGCCTATTCTTGCCCCGATGTCAAGGGGCACTATCTGTGGCTCTGTTCCTCCCCTACACCATTGCCCAAGCCTTGCAGATGGCACCCACAGTTAACACTGTCATCGGCCCCACACTGGGCCCCAGAATCCTTCAGTCCAGACCCCAACCAGATCCCTCCAATCAGGCAGCCTACTCCGCCCTCATTCTGGGCTGCCTAGCTCCCTGAGCTCCTCCCCCTCTCAGGTGTGGTTGCCCCAGGACCTTTGGCCACACAGGCCTTGGCCTCACCTCCAAGGCCAGTTGGAAACCCCAGGTCCTCAGCTCCGGGCATTCCTTGTGGTGGGTGTGGTGGGCCCCTGGCCCTTTTGACCCTTCTGATCCTGGCCCCAGCACTGACCAGTCGAGGGTGTTTCAAGTCAGGCCTCTGAGCCTCTAGCCCACTCTCTACACTGGGTCTGCCTTCTTGGCCCTACTATGGTGTAACCCACCCAGTTGTGGGGGCTGGGGTTATTAAGGCACCCCAACCCACCTTTCACCAGGGTGGCAACTGGCCTGGTACTTCCTGGGGACTGGTGCGCCACTGAGAGCCCCACCAGGCCACCCACTCCCAGCAGGGTGCAGGTTTAGGTCATGCCCAGGACCAGGAGCCTCCAAACCATCCCCTTAAGCTCGTGCCCTTACCTCCAGGATGTTGCATACAACCTTGCTGCCAGGGAATGTTTCTGCCTGGCCTGCCAGCAGCGAACTGCTCTGTTTATATAGACAGGGCAAGCCCACTCTCTACACTGGGTCTGCCTTCTTGGCCCTACTATGGTGTAACCCACCCAGTTGTGGGGGCTGGGGTTATTAAGGCACCCCAACCCACCTTTCACCAGGGTGGCAACTGGCCTGGTACTTCCTGGGGACTGGTGCGCCACTGAGAGCCCCACCAGGCCACCCACTCCCAGCAGGGTGCAGGTTTAGGTCATGCCCAGGACCAGGAGCCTCCAAACCATCCCCTTAAGCTCGTGCCCTTACCTCCAGGATGTTGCATACAACCTTGCTGCCAGGGAATGTTTCTGCCTGGCCTGCCAGCAGCGAACTGCTCTGTTTATATAGACAGGGCAGCCGCCAGAGATCTAAAATGGCTACCGCAATCAAGCACCTGTCGGCTGCTTGGCTCAGCCCTTAAAGTGGCAGGCACCAACAGTGCCCTGCTACAATAGTTTTAGTGTATTGAGCTCTAAATATTACATGAAGCACAGCTTTCAAAAATGTTTAAATGGTGCCTGGAAGTTTTTCTGGAACATCTATTTGCATACATTCCCTACCCAGTTTGTTCACAAATTAGATCATTACATCCCCCAGCAATTCCCAAGGTTGTACATGCTTGCATGTTCTTCTGTAGGCATATGTATCTTAATACATTTAAAATATTCAGTAAAATAAATTAATAATTCAAAGATTAAGGGAGAGATTTTGTGGCTTTTTAACAGTATTTCATTTGTTTTATAGGTAATTAGGGTTTATGATTAAATAAAAACACAGGACTCATGGACGAAACATTACCTGGGCCAAGCCTCATGATCTTGGGAACCAACCCTTTGTACAAAGCCAGAAATCTGTATTAGAAATAAAAATAATATAAAAGGTTTGAAACAACATTTCTGCTTTAAAGAGTGTATAGAATGTTAGCATCTGCTGTGTAAGATGCTGGCTTAGCACTTACTGGAACATGTCTAATTTCAAATAATTGCCTGTATCTGCATATTAACATTTTATGGAAGCAAATCACATGAGGAGAAGCTAACAATGAGTTGCAAAAACTATGGTCTGATCCCATCCAATCAGAAACAGGACTTTAATCAGTGAGATGGTTTTACTTTCAAGACAAGTTTGCTAACAACAGCTGCATTACATGAACAAAATGACTGCTATAATTGAGTATCAAAGCTACAACTTGATCCTCGAGAAATATTTAAAAGATGGAGAAAAGTTATTGCCACAAAGTTCTGTGTCCAATTCGCTCATTTCAACAATCATTCTCAATGCATAGAAACCTGCATAAGTTACAAGTAGAGAGTTTAACTGAGAAATATGCTATTTTTCTACTCACATTTTGTATCTGCAGACTGAAGGGTTAATTTTAATGTTACCAAGCATAAATGTTGTATTTCGGATATATATTGGGCATTTGTTTGTAAAATATACATTTTAACAACACATCATCATAAACTTCCAGATATTAAAAAGGTCAGATTAAATAGAAAGAGGTTTTTTAGTCATTTTAAAATGCACTTTGAAATATTACATTTCATGTTCTTGCTACATGAGTTCAGGGTGGCTTTATGGCCCTCAACAGATCTGACACATAACAACATGATTTTATGGACCTATATGAACTAAAACAAAGGCCTGACTATGATTTAGAATAAGAATGTTTTACCCTTCTTCTTTATAGACTGTTGCCATAGTTTTAAAACAGGTTCTGTACTTGGTCTCTCCAGGAATGGGTTGTGGCCCTTGAATCCTACTTTTTGCAACATCAAAAGGGATATTAATAATTGAGGCAATTGTTCCTGAAACTAGCCCGATTCCAAATTTTCTCAAAAACTCCAAAGGGGGGTCCTAAAAAGAAAAAAAGAAGAATGAACAGGGAAACGGAAGCACCTAAATAGGTTAAACACTATAAAGTAATATGCATTTAATCAGAAAACTCACACAACACGACACACTCACGTTATTGTAGCGGAACACATTAAGATTTCCTATGCTGGAACTTGTTTTCTTGACAATCCTATTGGCTATGTTTTTACACATGGTCTAAATTGCTGAAGTACACATTTCCTCACACAGGATTTATAAACACAGTTCATAAAGAAAGACTGGTATGGCATATGGGGATGATTTGTATAATTGGGCTTCACAATGTACTTAGTATTACTGTATCAAAACAGGAGAAATCCAAGCACACTATTAGCTAATTGGCCAGAATATTTTACAAATGACAGCAACTTCCACCATGAAGTCTACTAAAATGCTCATTTGTGTGCTAGACCCCCAAATGTTAAATTAAATAAAGGCTAATCTCAGTCTGCAGCCATTCCCCTCCAGGTTTTTTACATTTATTTTCACATGTAGCTGATCCACTGTACTAAGAAGTGCTAGCTTCCTGTTATTAACAATCCAACTTGGTGCAACTGCAAAACAGCCTTCCACATTCTGTGCATTATAAACAGTAGTAACTCACTGCTAATTGGCTGAAGAATTTACAACACATTGTTTCTGAACCCTAGAATTCTTTCATGGTAAAAGCTAGAAACAGGTTATAAACCTGATCTTAAAAACATTTTGCTCTTTCTGTTCGAATCTTGACAATCCAGTTGTATTTTATTTGATCCCTTTAGAAATCCTTTTTGTCTTGGCATTCTGTGACATCAAAGCACTCAAAATTTACTTGGGAGTCAAACATTCTTTAACAAAGTCTAATCCCATTTCTGTGAGCAGTGGAAGTCACAGCGAACTCTGTCCTAATGAATTTCCTAGGCTATTCATATTTTTATGCCTCTGTTTTCTACACCAACAGAAAACTATTCCTTTTATTTGGCACAATGCACTATATACCTGGCATGCCTTAGGGAATGTTTTGCAAGAAGGCACTTTAAATATAACAAATCATCAGTAAAAGAAGAAGGGATCATGCTACATCATACTTTCAGCTCAATATTAGAAAAGAAATAATCAGAAATAGCCTGCTTTTAATCTCTGTTTTCAGAGCTCTTATACTTTGACTCCAAATAGGAAGGGCCAGTAGGTTTTCCTTTACTGCTTTTCAACAAGGAACTTAAGTTAAAACTTCCATAATATTCACTGGATAAATGCAGTGGGTTGTACGTTTACAGAGAGTTTAAAGTCAACAGGGTGCTTAATATTACTTACAGAAAAGGTAATGCTGTGGTTTAATAATGGACAGGATATTCTCAGAGAACACTCTTTTAACTAGGAATAAAATAGCCTTTGATATAATTAAACATCACATAATATTATTACCAAAATGTGTAGCAGAAAATTGCTGTCTGTACCGTAGTACATGAAGATCCACGTAGCTTGGATGCAATTATGATTTGCAGAGGAATCCTACAAAACTTCACGTTTGACAAAGCCTTTAGAGCCAATCTGTGGTGAAGTGTTACAAATGGAACAGTGGTACTCTGGGATCTAGAATGGTCTGAAACCCCTTTCATATGTGGTTTGAGGTAGGGGTTTACTATGTGTTTATACCGCAATAAGCAGTATGGGTTGGCCTGTAGGTGCAAGGAAGAAAGAGAGAAATAATACTTATACTTTAAACACTGAACCCTCAGCCCAAGTGCATGTGTGCTAACACCTAGCAAATCTGTCTTTGAAATGTTGAGCATTCCTATGTGTTTTGCAGTGCTTCAAATCTCAGGGTCTCCTGCTTTGGAACTGAAAGTGCCACAAGGAGTCTGGGCACCAGAGTGCAGCATCAACTCAAGTTCTATTGAAATATGACATTTTATGACAAAAGAAGTGTCCACCTGTAGCATTGACCAATGTAAGTACAGATAAGTTAAACCTGATTCAGTTATTCCTGTTCCAGTTTCGTGAGAAAAACTGTAAGTACGGCAGAGTGTTTAACCCTTTCCAAATATGCCAGCCTGATCTCACAAACTATAGTAGACATTAGTTTCTCCTAACTTTTCTTCTTTATTTTATTATAGGATTTTATATTGGATCCCTCACCATTATATTTGGATTGTTAAAAATATGAATAAAGTTTCATTTTAAAAGCAAACACTAGAGGGTTTTTGTCTGGGGAAACTGTCTTCAGGAAGAAGAGGGATGAGAGAGAGATTCCTAAATAATATTAAATGTCAGTCAATAAAGCGAAAAGAACAATGGCTGCATATCACACAGGTGATACTAGGAAATGATATTTCTTTTGTCTTAAAATCTTTCCCTTTCCTGTCACTGTCAGATTTCATGAAGAAGCCTGTGGCATAGTGAAATGTGGTGGGAGAAGAAAAATACAGGAACAAAACTATACCACCTGCTATCAAAAGATCAGTTATTGTCACCTACTTGTCCTTAACTTCTGTGGCATTCAGTTGGCACTATGATGTAAAGTGGGACCACTGAGAAAGCATGGCTGGTGTTGACTTCAAATGATTTTTTTTTTGGTGTATCCTGGAGACATGTTACCAATTTACTCATTTGAGAGCAATTTCTTGCTGTGTTGGACAGCTGAATTGGTGGTCCCCACACCTTTACAGTAACCTCTAGAAACACAGTTGGGGTAAGTGAGAAGGGCACCAGCTGCAGGTGCCCTCTTAGAGGGAGCGCAAAAATAGAGGCTCTCCAGGGAGCCTATGGTGCTGCAGCAGCAGCAGCAGCCCTGCTGAGCCAAGTGCAGCAATAGCCAGGGCTAGGCACACCACACCACACTAGTTGCAGCAAGTAACAGTAACTCCCCCTGTCCTCTCACTCCCCACCCACAACCAGGTTTAGCTCAGGTCTTGCTCCACCCCTCACAGCAGGGTTTTGCTCAGGGGGCAAAACATGCTAGTTAAGCCTCTGAACCTCTTTGCAATAGCACTCATTGCACTTGATGTTTTCCATTCCATGAACACCACAAAAAAGGAAAAGAAAAAGAAAAAACAGGCAAACCCTAGCAGCACATTGGGTTAGCATCATTAAAGTACATCAGCTTCTGTTGGCAGCAGCACACAAAGGAGAAGTATGCAAGAAGTATCATGTCTGGGTACCCACCCCAAAACCCTATGTACCTATTTTACAGATGAGTTAACTGAGAGCAGCCTTTACTGTGAATCTTGTAGTGATAAAAGTTATAATGTAGAGAAACTCACTAATTTAGGAGAATTTGGGATTAGGGAATGGTCTTTCAGTTAGTGAGAAAGAGCAAGAGAAACCAAGGGGCTGCATAGGTTGCCTACTTCTCTACAATAAAGTTCATATGGTTGGCAGCATACCAGAGGAATTTTATATAGATAAAGTAGAATCAAGCAAAATCAATGAGAGGAACTAGATTTTGCCAGTGTAAATGCAAGGAACAAGAGTTTAATTTAAAATGAAAACTGCAACTCAGGTTAATATCTTATCAGAGCATGAACACAGAAAATTAAAATTGAGAGCAAAAGCAAGTTCTATAAATATCAAAATAACTGGCGATTCAGAAGCAGGCAAAGCCTAGCAGTCCATTACCAGTGAAAGGGAAATACATTACTAGCATCCAATATAAAATGAGAGTATACAAATTCCCATTCTTTGAGGTATCTAGGGACATTATACCAGTTTTGGTGTCACCGAGATTTCACCATCTTGTGAAAAACTTTAATCTCATTAAACTTGTGCTTGCAGTACAAGAAGACTCAACATACATGCCTCCTGACAGTCCTCTTGGCTGTCACAGCCAAAATCTGGACAGTTTGCTCAGGAAGAAGCCAAGTGTTGCAGAACACAAGAAGCACCCCTGTCCTTATGGGAAGAAATGTACCTATGGACACAAATGCAAATACTATCCCATAGAAAGAGGAAATCAGTCTCAGCAGTCTATAGCTAATGAACTTTGCGCTATGTGTAGAAGTACAGCTGCCAAAAGTGCATGTCAGTTGGATCCCAGTAAAAACTTCAAGTCTATTAAGACTTGGGGGGAAAAGCTTCCCACCAAAAACAAATCAGAAAGTGGATCTGATACTTCATCAGTCTGGGAATAAAATGAAACCTTCTGAAAGACTCACTGGGATTTGTTAAAAGAATTGCAGAAAAGGTGGAATAGGAAAGTACATTCCATTTGTAACATGTCCAGAGTGCCATTTGTAAGATGTCTGGAGTGACATGTTAGTAACTTTTCCTCTGTAACACAAACATTGATTTTTGTGTTAATTGATTTTTTATTTATTAAGATAGAAAATATAGCAATAAACGTTATCATTTAGAGACACTCCCTGATTTAGAAGAGTTGGGAATTGGGAGATGGTCCTTCAGGTTATAGCTGCTAATTAATGAAAGAGAGACCAACGGTCTGCAGAGGTTGCCTACTGCTCCATAATGAAGTTTATTGCTTGGTTCTTCTCATTCACATATGCCTGTGTTTACTGAGCCTGGTGGTCACTACAAGTCTGGAGTAAGGCTTGAATTCATGGTGCTGGAGCTCTGGTCAGCACCTTGACCAACTGCTATGGCACCTCCTCACTACCACAGACTACCCAAAAATAAACCAAAGTAGAAGCAGCATTAAGAAATAGTCATTTTCACCCATATTCTTCTTGTCTTCTTGACCTTGAGAGAAAGAATAAGAAGTTGCATCTCACTGTGTTCTATATGATAAACAAGGTCCTTTTTGGCTGTATCTTTTTTTGAACACACTGGTATTTATTTCAGGTTGCACTTGCTTCTTCTCCAGATCTGAAGGACACTTTGTGCCAAAAGGTTTGTCTAACATCTCTCCCAACTATACAGTTGGTCCAATAAAAGATATCAGCAAACAGACCTTGCTTCTCACTTATGTCCTGGACCACCAACCGTACTACAGTTTGTTCTGAGACATTTGTGGGAATATGTAGATTTTATTTCCTAAATACATGATG